CTTCAGTCACAACACAGGAGAGGATGCTGCAGGGTTTGTGATAACTTCATTACACAATTGGCAAGAAGATGAGGCTAGGAAAACAGCCTGGGAACTAGAAGGTATGCAGTTTGTTGACTTTTTTTTTTTCCTTTTTTTTTTTTGCACAGTTGGCTCGTATTCAGCTTATGATCCACGGTAACCCCCAGGTCCTTCCCTGCAGTACTGCAGCCTCACCAGCTATTCCCCGGCAGTATCTGTGCATGCAAGCACACATAGCGATGTGTGTATTTACACAGCGGTGGGACCAAATATGAGGGACTCACGGCACAAAGGCCTCACTTATAGCTGCAGCTGCTCTTAAAACTCTCAGTCCCTCCTGCCCCTTCAAAGGAAACCAGTTACCTCGTTTCGAAAACGGGAATATAACAGCAGGACATCAAACTGGCTGGGCCTTGGAAGAAACTTCTTCAAACAGGGTGGGAGGAGAGATGGGGCAAACTAGCCGGTCTCTCCCTTTCTGGTGCCAAAGTTCTCCATCTCGGTGCCAGGTCACAACCATGACCATGACCTATTATTCAGCAACTACTGGGGCTAGAAGACTTGTGGAGCCTGGGGTAAGGCAGCAGACCCGTGGGAAGTTGCTACATCCTGAATTGTCTGCGCCATACCTAGAAAGTCGTGCAGAACCAACAGGCTGATTAGATGACATGGGTCTATTAGCAAGCATCTGGCTCAACTGGACCAAGCTTCCTGTGTGCAAAAATAAAGTTTATTTCCTACATATGGGTACTTTGTACCATCTTGAACTTTCCCTGAGCCTGATGAAGGGTGTGTGGGCCCAAAGGCTTGGAGAAAAAAAATTGATTTTTTGCAATTTCTCAGGTGGTCGAATAAAAGGTATCATCTCTGAACTGAAAGTTCTAGATGTTTGCTTGGGTTTTGTCCCAGACCAACACGGCTACCAAATACATCCCTGGCTCAACGGGTAACGTTTTCCTGACCGCAGAAAGCATAGGCTGAAGTCCCGTGGCCGAGCTTAGCCTCACTGCAAAATGACAGAGTAATATTGGCGGCGAGGGGCAGCTGCACTGGTAGACAGCCAGACAGCGCTATTGCCTAGTTAACCATCTCAGTCTTTTGGAAAGTCATGCTCTTCCTCTCTCCCGTGTTTAAGATGAAGCCATTAACAGACAGGAAGATCCACAGGTACGAGCAGCCACCCCGGTCATGCAGATTTGGAACCAACGTTTAGGATCTGGTCTCTTGGGGATCTCGTCCTTCAGTGTCCCCGCTGAGCACGGCCACCCTCCCTGGTGCCCGAGCTGCCGTGACCACAAGGCCAAAGAAAGAAGCCGAGGGGGAAAGTTCAGAGGGAACTAGAACTGAACGAACGCGGGAGCCGTGGGTGCGAGCACCGTCACCTTCCTTTCACAAGTGCATTTCTTTGGGGATTTTAAACTGCCAGATAAACACACACAGAACGATTTCTGAGGGCCCAAAATGGGCTGCACTGTATGCAAGTTAATCCAAGGTGTGTATTCCCTAGGGATATCTCATAAGATAAAGAGCAAGCCCTGACTGCTATTTCAAGGCAGTATAGCAGATGGTTACATTGCACCCAGGTGTGTCTCCCCTGGGGTGATCCCAGAGGAGAAATCCCAGGCCACTTTTCCTATTTCAAGGTGGCAGAAGAGCTGGTTAGGTTGTCATTAGTCATTTTTGAAAGCACCTTGACTCCATGTTCCAGTCTGACAATCATCGTTCAAACCTACCCGCAGAGTCACGGCGAGGTGCATCAGCCCCGTGCCGGCCCTGCAAAACAAAACAGAAAGCAAGGAAATGCTGCAAAACTAACAACGCTTTCCCGGGGCTAAATTAGAGGATGTCTTAACTCAGGCACCTGAGTCTGGGTGGGACACGAGGGGAGCAAGCTGCAGGGTGATGCTGGGAAAGCTCCAGGGCACGGCCAGCCGGACGCGTCACGGTGCATCTACGGTCAGGTGAGAGGTGGTCGTTCAGATAAGGGGCCCAAGAACAATCCAGGGAAGACTTTATCGTCGCACCCGGACTTGTCCCTAGTGCTCTGGGCACAGGTCTCAGCTTCTTGTTGCAGCCGGGGGCACGGAGAGGACTACCTGCTCCACACCAAGTCTGAGACAGGGGTCAAATTAGGAAAAAGGAAAAAAACCCACCACAGAGGCCTTCTTGCCAGCTCTACCTGCGTGCACCTGAGCCGGCCGAGCGAAGCAGCACCCTTCACAGACCGTGTTAAAAATGAGCATACACTCTTGCGGTTTCTCGGGCTTCACTACTTCTTGACACTGGAAAATAAGTGGATGCGCCCTCCTCACAAGTGCCACCCTCTTTGGCACTGAAGGACACGTGGTTCAGACCCACAGGTTCGCTTTCCTCTTAAGCTCCTTTCTAAACAGTCAAGGAGCTGCCAGGGTTGATGTTTCAATAACTTCTCAGTTAACACCCCGCGGAGAAGAACAGGAGCAGTTCACACCTGGCAGCGCTATTGTTTCAAGCAACAAACTCAGCCAGAGGCAGCTGCCCTTGGCTCGCGCTCCGCAGGTTTCCTTTGTGCCTGGCAGGCTGCGGACGTCCTTTCGCCCCGCAGCGAACGTTCGAGTTGTGAAGCACCAGCTGCGGCGCTGCACAACTCCACGAGCACATCCCACGCCCATTCGAGCCCTGCTCCGAGGTAGTCCCCAGCGACGGGTCTGAGCTCAGCTCAGCTCATTACAGCAGTCGGCTCCGGATGCAGCGATGGGCAGTGGCCGTTGGGAGCCACCCATGGCGCGCAGTTTAGTCTAACTGAGCTGAACACGGAGGTTTCTTAACGGCCTGCGCTGCACAGACCGGACAAGCCAATGATCCTTTCTGACCTTAAACTCAGCCACAGGGAAAAGGCACGAGAAACCGCTGGCACCTGAGCAAATGCTTTCAACACCGCCATGCCTCTAAGAGCTGCTCCTTGCTCAAGAGCATTCTTGCTCCCTTATCTGGGTGAACCAACAACTGGTTCACTTTCATCCACGGCATGTCTACGCAGCGGTCAGGGTGTGCCTGCAGCTTGTGTAGCCACACCTAAGGCATCTTTGCACTAGCTGTCTTGGGTACCCTTTCTGGGTAGCTGCGACAACACCGTCCTCAGCAGGGCCTGCGCACCTGCCCGAGAGGCAGGGTGACCGCTGAGCCCGTTGGCCTGCACCGAGCTGATCGTGCCCAAGCCCAGCCAGCTGCTCTCAAAAGCTGCACCTCTGGCTGCAGTACAGGCAAACCTTCAGGGAGAAACTAAGGAGACTGCAGGATCCAGGTGCACCGAAATGGGGATGACCAGACACCTCCTGACCTCCCAACCCGCCTGGCAGATGTGATCCTGCCAAGCGCTAATGCGACATCCCTTGGCGAGGAGAAGCACCGGTCCAGCACGGTCTTCCGAGAGTCTTCGGACAGGAACGAGCAAGTCCTCTGGGGATTCAGGCTTGGTGTCTGCACACATCCTGCAGCGTCCAAGCCTGGAGTCCAGAGTCACAAGCATTGCTGTCTGATTTAATAAAACCAATGTGGAGCAGTTTCCCTTGTCTCTTTCTGGGAGATAAAAATATAGTTCCTGTTCCAGACCTCTTAGTGGTGATGGCATGTGGGTGTCCCGATTGGTTTTATCAGAGAAAACCAGCATCCCCGCTAATCACACTAGTTAGATAAAGAAAATAACAAATCTCCAGTTTGGGAGGTAAAAAAGTAACCCCAAATCCACATTTTTCTGTGATCAAACTGAAACACCACTATAAATATGTCTATATATTAGTGGTGTTTCATTTTAATCACGAAAAAATGCAGATTTTGAGTTACTTTTTTTAACCTGAAAATGAGGGATTTGTTTTTATCATCAGAGAAAACCAGGATCCCCGGCGATTAGGTGATTCAAAGCGTACAAGCACTGTGCTCTGCCAGGAATCGCCCTCTGCGGCACAGTGCATTCGCTTTATCAAAACCTCCAGATCTTGTTGAGGATCTCACCATAATAGTGGGAGATAAAGAGGAGTGAGCCTGCAGAATGGCCTGGGGGCCACGAAGACGTTTCTGCTGCTCTGTGGAATGATAATAGTAGATTTAGCTCTTATACCGGGCTTTTCATCTTCAAAGCACTTTACAAACATTCATTAATCCTCACAACACCCTGTGAGGTAGGTAAGTATTATTGCGGGAGGGATGTTCAAGGTTTGTCTAGGGGACACTCGCATTCGTGAGCACAAACAAACCCACGCTCCTGGCCCCGCACTTGTCACCCCACATCGAGGCACAGATCCGCGCCGACCGCTCTCCACACATGCAAGCCCTGGCGCCCAGATGCACACCCCTGCCCCCGCTGGACAAGTCTGCCTCCAGGGCTGATGCACTCGTTTTGGGGAAGAAACCCCGACTTTCATCTTCGCCTGGTGCAGCACGCGCCAATGTCCTGCCATAGCGCCCCTCGCAAGGAGAAACCAGATTGCCTGAAGGGCGGAGAGAGGATCCCTACTCCTGACAACCAAATGCTGGCCCGTGGCAGGGGGTGCTCAAGCCAGGACAGGGTGTTTCTAGTCTTCGTCTTTGGAAAAAATGGTTAATGAAGCCCAGGAGCAGGTGGTCACGTCAGGCCAAAAGGAACCGAAGAGGCTAAGGGTGAAAATGACCATCGCCAGCTGGTTTAGGATTCATTCAACGTCCGTCTAACTTCTCCCATGAATTGCCAAGAGTCTCTGCAGAACTAGGAGGAAAAAACCTGCCGCTTAGTCATTTTTGTGTTCTTATTAAACTCAGGTTTCCCCGAGGCTAACAGGAGCTGATATCGTAATTATTGGCTTGCTCACCCAGCTGCCTTCTCTCACCTGATGCAAGATCAGATCTTTCCAGCCTTCGAGAGGCTCGGCAGTGCTGAGCCTCCCCTCTCGCTGCGGGGCTGTGTGCATGACCTCATCCCGTCCCGGGGCAGCAGAACGCCGTTTTGCTTGGATAGAAAGGTAAAAGGAAACCTCAGTCAACTTCATACAGCTTTTTAGAGCTCAGGCGTGAAAGCCAAGCGGAAGGGGAGCAGAACTCCCTCGCCTTGGCTCATCTATTTAACCCGAAGCCCCCAAGGCTGACTTTGAAGCTCTCCCGGCTGAGCGGCGTGGAAGGCCCTCACTTGCGCCCGTTCCCCCGAGGCTCGGTCTGGCAGTGGGAAGCCTTACGAGGGGAAGAGAGGCAAGTAGACACCAGGTAAGCGCAGAAACCGATTTACCTTTGATGGGAAAAGGGAAGGCTGGTAGCTAACGTCCCAAGGGGAAAAGCCATCTGAGTGAGCTGCTTTTAGTCTGTACCAACTGCACCTAGGCCACTAACTACTTTAGCCTCAGGAAAGTCCCGAGGGATTTACGATTGCTTGAAAAGAGACCTTAGGAAACTGCAAGGAAAGAGAGAGAGGTGTTCACCGAAAAACAAAAAAAAGTAACTCTCACGCCTGGATGTATTAGAGAACGATTTATCTTAAATATCTCCCCAACACTAAATCCAACCCAGGAGCTCTATGTCTTCTAAAGGCAAGTGGTCATTTTTCCATACCCCTGCTGTGAGTCCGATCCCGCTGGCTTTGCCATCGGTGTGCTTTGCAGTTTGGGGTGGCAGTTGTGAACTTTTCCTTGGACTTCATCCTAGTCCGAAAAGGAACATGCCTTCAATGACAGCCGGACGGGCACAGATTTCGGGCCCATCTGGATGCACTGGAAAAAAACCCAGCAACTGATTTTGAACGCTGCAATTTGGAACTTGCTTCTGCTTCCCTAAAGCGCTCGTGGCGTACGCAGCTGTCCCCCCGCCGCAGACAGAGTTGTAGCACGAAAAAGCAGTTTGTGATACTAAGCAAAGGGATGATCAAGTGTACATGTAACAATTAGGCACCGGTCATCTCTGGCCCTCCTGAGTGACTGATCAGATCACATCTAGATGGACTCCAAATGTATCATATAAATATCTTGGTTTGGTTTCTTCTAAGGAGGCCCGTCCAAACCTGAACACTCAGATAAGCCTGGATGCACTGGGTCAGCTTCAAGCTGAAAACTCTTTTCTATTTAAGAGTGTAAGAGAGCAAAAGGCATGTAAATGCCTGGGGGAAAAGCGTTCATGCAGCAGCTGCAGAGCAGCAGTTCAGCTCGCTGGCCGCTCACAACCGGTGCGCTCTCCGCAGAGGTGGGTCAGGGGCTGCCTCCCTTTCAGTCCTGATGACGGGCTGAAGACGAGCAGGATTATTACGCCCTGATGCGAGGAAGCCAGGGTCTAGAATCGTGTAATCTGAGCATCTACCCCATTCCCAGCTGCTAAGCCGACGTGCAAGAAGGTGCTGGTTTGTTTGTACACAGACAGGAATCCGTGTATCATACCCAGGGGAATATTGTGTTGCCCGTCAGACAATCAGGGCCACATGCTTGCTACTTATCTCACGTCACGTTGCATGTGCAGGAGGGTGTATGCAGGTTCCCATTAGCAAGGTGATGGGCATGGCATAAGATCCTGGCAAAAACAGAATAAAGCACTGCATTTGACTATAAGACATGGGGGCTGCAGGAATTAAAAAGGGCAGGAGAAACACCTCAATGGAGAAATAGAGGAGAAACATCCTAGTTTCATTATTATGGTACCAAGAGATCAGGCCCAGCTCAGTATTTGAGAAAGGGCAAGCTGAAAGGACACCCCAGTGAAGGATGATACCCTCTTTGGAAAAACAATGCTGTCAATATGGGAACAAGAAGAAAAGGAGATGGGTTAAAGCTCCTGGAAGTCACAGGTTAACCCAAGCCATGTGCTGCGAGCTGGGTTTTTGGTTGTTGATCCTAGGGCACAGGCAGGCAAGCTTCTTTGCATAGATGTGATATCTTTTATTAGGAGTTTGGGTTGTAGCCATGTTGGTCTAAGGATATAGTCAGACAAGGTTCCTTGGGTGAATCTGATATCTTTTATTAGACCAACCCAAAAGGTTGGAGAATTGTTATTAAGCAAGCTTTTCATTCCATCCAGGAAGAGCACACACCAACTGCTGAAACTTCCTTAGCCTGATGAAGGGTTTTTGAACCCGAAAGCTTGCTTAATAACTATTCTCCAACCATTTGGGTTGGTCTAATAAAAGATATCAGATTCACCCAAGGAACCATAACTTTTATTAGACCAGCCGAGTAGTCGAAAAAAGTTCTCTCCCGCTGCATCCACGCGGACCAGGAGCCGGGGAGAGCCTGTTTGGGAAGTGGGCATGAGACCAAAGAGTGCTGAATGAAATCCCAGAAGGAGCTAACAGTGGCAACTCCTGGGCAGATGGGAATTTACTGCTTGTGGCCTTCTTCCGAGTTGTTAGGCATGATTTGGATTAAACACCCCTCTCTGCCCTCCTGCACCCTGGAAAGACCTGCAGAGAGATCGATTATAGAGGTAATGCAGAATAGCTCTGTAGGGCAAATAAAGCCCTCCTGTTACACCTCTACCACGAAGCATCACAAGGGCCACACATTTCCAAGGCATTTCCATTACTTATTAAGGTCTTGAAGCAGAACCCCAGACCACCACAGCCACGGGACAACCAGAGGAAGTGGGGCGAGTGCTGCAGTCAGCACTACCCTTTTTTCTGAGTGACTCCAGAGCCAACACCCCCGCCTGGAGTTCACTGACACGTGAAAAGCATTTAAGAGGTTTTAAACACCCGGGTAGACAAAGCTTGGGCTGAGATGATGCAGTTGGGGCCGGTCCTGCTTGGAGCAGGGGTTGAACTAGATGTGAGCTCCCTTCAACCCTCGTTTCCTCTGATTCTCTGGTTTAAGGTGCCTGGATGAGACGGGGCTATTGCAGTGCAAAGCGTGGCCATCCCATCCTCCTGACGGCTCGTGATGACTGCAGCACAGTAGGGCACCGTCCCATCAGAGCCAGGTAACGATGTTCGACACACGGGCATTTTAACCCAGTTTATTCTCCTCTGTGCTGCCACCTCACCCATGTGCGAGAGCCTCTCTCAGGAGCCCAGCTATGGTCAGCTCCCGACTTCCACGCCGAGCTCTCCGAGTGGGTTAGGTAGCTCTGCCCTACCACTCTACCTGCTGGTTCACCAGACCTGCCAGGGCAGGTCCCTGCAATGTTCCCTTCTCTGGGCAAACGGTAGGACGCCAGAAATATTAGATAGGAACCTGTTCTCCCAGGGATGCAAGCAATTCAGCAGAGGAAATTATTTACTAGCAATCTCGAATCGCTCAACGGCCAGGCGCTGACCTCCATTCACGCGCCAGGCTGCAGAGAGGAGAGGAAACTGTTCTACCTCTGTAGCGACCTTCCTCTGCCAGCCCACGCTGATGGCCCTTGGCCCTGGGCTTAATTCACTGCAAGAAACCTTAACACGGGCCACGAGCCCCACGGCTCAGACCTCTCTGTGCCCGGGAGCAGCAAATGGGGCAAGATGTAGTTTAGATGAAGAATGAGTTGACCATTAACACGAGAGCAATACAAAGCCCTTCTCAAAGCAACATTTCTCCTAACAACCCTTGGGTTTTTCCAGCGTGTCAAATTAATGTACCGGGTAAACAGCTCTGCTGTGTTTTTGTGAGCTAACGTATCATGGCTTAAGGTGCATCGCCGTGTCACTGCTCCTTGCACCAGCTCTTCTCCCGTAACAGAGTTCACGCTCTCCCTTTGGCAAACAGGACAGACGTGCTCCTTCATGCATAAACATGGGACAGTCTCACATGGCATTTCACAATTCTTCACACCCTGCCTTGGCTTTGCCCCATTGCAGGCAATTAATGAATGGCATGTCTGCCCTAGATTTCCATATGGGAACATAGCTGCAGCTGAAGTGAGGGCGCTTGGGAGTGGAGAGCAGGCAAAGACCCCCAAACCTGGCATGAGGGCCTGGGGTCAGTTGCCCAGGATGCCCGAATTGTGCGATACCCAGAAACACCGTCCTGCGACAGTGCTGCGAGACCTCTCCAAGCTGCCACGGCAGCTTCTACCCTACTAACACGAACGTCCCCACGACTAATGTGGAGAGACCCATCTGTGACCCTTTGGGCCCAATTTTCAGGGCTTTAACCCCTAATACTTCCTGCCAAAGTTAATTCAGGCCCAAAATGTCTTCAAGCCAAGCACAAAAAGAGTGCAGCTCCTGAGTCAACGATCGCTTCGGAAAACTTGTTGGGCAAAAAAGTGGTTAAAGAAAACCGCTTGCTTTTCCCGTCAAATTCTTTTTTGCTGGCGGCTGAGTGGGGGGAGAGAGACTACATCCGAGTGGGACAACTCCTGACGTGTCTATCCTGTAGCTTAGGACACCGAGGCTTTCGCGTTGAATTTATAGATAGTCACAGGGTTTGGTCAGGACCTCCGAGCCAATTTGCACCTCCGTGGTTTTATCCTACAACTAGCATGGCTTACTGAAACAATCATTAGGTCCCACCATACGTGTGCGTGACACCACACAGCAGGTAGGATGGGCAGAGTCTGTGCCCGAGCCAGTGCAGCGCAGTGCAGTGCAGAGCAAGCACTAGGAGAATAGCAGAGCGTTGCCTCCCCGTCAGGAGGGAGAACAGCTCTTCATCTTTTGAAGTTCCCTAGTTTTCCATTCCCGGCTTTTGCCTTTCCCATGGCACTTTGCCTGTTCTTCCTTACCACAAGTCAGAAACAATGTACTGAGCCGTATGCTTTAGTCCGGTGTGGGAACTGCACAGCAGAGCAGAGCAGAGCAGAGCAGAGCAAAGCAAAGCAAAGCGCTGTCTTTGCATTAGAGGTTCATAATCATCTAGGCATTCCCATCATGTGGCCCGAGACAGAGCCTCAAATCCTAAACTGGGATGTTTAACCCGACAGGACAGTCTGCGCACTCCTCTCCACAGCTTTTGGTTTCAAACGCCTTCCCCGAGCCGAGATTTTCCTGGCATTTTCTCCAGCTGGGATATTTGTGATTTGGAAATTACATCTACCGAGATCACCTGGGCCGGTCTGGACTTGAGCTGTTGTTGTCATTCCAGTTAATTCTCAATTTGCTCGGGTAAATTAACACAACAGCAAACACTGCTCCAGACATCCCACAACCATGTTTTAAGAACAAATGCTTACCGGAGCCCAGACTCTCTGCCACCTGCTAGGCGCACCGGTGCACTTTGGTGCCTACATGTGATCCTATCCCACCCTGCTCACGTCTGTGAAAACCGGTGAATACAAAAGATGGGTGGGTCCTCCTCATCCTTGCTGCTGCTTTGTGACTCAGTCCTAAGGGTCAGATGATGTGCGTTACAAAAGTAGAGGCCGTGTGGATTTTCAGGACTTGAGCAGGTAGAGCAAAATTGCACTCAGACGCCTACATGCGCTCCACGGCTCAACAGGTGCAACAGAGTCTGGTCCCAAAGGCTAAGATGAGGGTTTGTCCTCTGATCTGCATTCTGCATTAGTTGTCTGTCACCTCTGCTGTGCTTGTATTGGAGACAGCTCGGGCACCCCAGGCTGCAGAAAGTGCTCTTGGGATCTCGTGTTCAATCTGGCCGCAAGCTGCAATTAGGACAATGCAAGATAGAGACATCGGAGGTCAGCCCTTGCTGGGGCTATCTGACCCCCGCAGCCTGTCCTGCCCAGAGCAGGGTGCTGGACCCCACCATCTCACGAGGTCCCTCCCAGCCCTACACTTCTGTGAACCTGTGACACCCTCTAAGATACGGTACTTACCGTTCTGATTATTTAAGATGACCCTTATGCTTTGGGATAAACATATTAACCGCTTTCAGTCATCAATGACAGCTGCAAGTAGGAGTGCTCTCCTATTATGCCACTGTCCCCAAGGACATCTCTTGTTAGCCCATAGAGTAGTTGTGTCCAAATTACAGTCCTTCAGGACTGCTGTGGATTGCCTGATTTCCTTTTCTAATGTAGAGCTGCGCAAGCTTCTCGGAGGAAGACAATGAAGCAGCCAGGCAGGGAAGCCTAGCTGCAGACGCCTGCTACCATACTGTAACTTGCTCTCCGACTATTTTGGGAGACGGGGACGTGGCTGTTTGTAGAGGAGCGGCTTGCTCTGCATTGCCATACCACAGGCATGCAGCACTTCCCCGCGATGCTGCGAGAACGTGCAGCTGTCGCCCTCAAAATAGTGTTGAAATGCCCAAGCCTGGGGCACCTGAACCCAAGCCTCTGGGCTTGGGCCTGCCAGTAGGACGCCCGCCCAAGGTTTTGGGAACAGCTGAAGGCCCAGGTGCAGGTGGAGGATGCTTGCCGGTAGTAGGGCCACGTAGGATTCTGGACTCTGGGATTTGGAATTAGTTTTGCCTAATTTGGCCTGGGATGCATAAATTAAAAAGCTGTGCAAAACAGCAGATGTGTGGCCCAGGATCCAGCCCCTAATGTGAAGCATCCTGGTATGGCTGTGTGCGTCTTTCAGTCATTCCCATATCCGACATTTTCAGTCCGTGGAGCAAGCAGTATTGTTTTTTCGGGCTGCCAGTCCTAGAAACAGCCCAGCCCGGCCCCTGAAAGTCAACTGGAACGTCTATCATCTCCAGTCATCCGGACTGAGCCAAAACACTGCCTGGATGACACGCGTAAAACTACTGTCTTCAGACGATGACCTCAATGACACCTTTGTCATCCAGAGTCACTGCTTACAACAGGTGCAATTCTTGGCCCTGTATGATTCTGGTGGCGAAGCACAGGGAGGAGGAAGAGGAGCCTGGCTCATTTCCTGACAGCCGTGTTACTCTCCTCTGGACCCCTTCTGATCTGGCCACATCCTCCTTGCAGCGCAGTGCCCAGGCCTGCACACCGTGCTCTGGCTGGGACCTCCCCAGTGCCGAACAGATCAAAAGACTTGCTTCCTATACAACAATCCTGCCAAAACCTCTCAGGATGAATTCAGCAAGGGTTACGTGCTGACTCTCCCTGCTTGCACTTCGCCCAAACTCCCAGCTTCTCTCCTGCCCCGCTGCAGCCAACTCACGACCGTGCCCTTCACACCTGCCCTTGCTGAATTTCGTCCTAGTTGTTTCATAACATTTTTCCAATTTATTGAGGTCATTTTGAAGCCTAATCCTCACCTCTGAAATATCTGCGACCCCACCCAGCATGGTGTCATCCATAAATTTGTACACTCAATCACGTCCTCCAAGTCATTAATTAAGACAGAGACATGGTTAACTACGTTAGTCTGAAGTCAGACAGAAGGTAGGGCAGGATGGCACCTTAAAGGCTAACTGGTTCAGAGAAGCAGCAGCTTTCAGAGGTGACAACTTTCTTAGATGCTATGAAAGGACTGGCAGAAAGAAAGGGTTTTCTATAGAAGGGAGCAGGACAGAGGGAGGAGGCACTGCTAAGACAGGTAAAGAGTGGGATCATTACATCAACAGGGATGAACGAGACAACTAACACCGTGAAGGGCACTGCGGGTAACAGCCGGTCCAGACAATGGGGTAGGAATCCAACCTCTGCCGAGATCATGGTTAACTCAATCCAGTCCGCGAGTGATTTCTTGGTCCGCGATTTCAGGGTCATGCTAGTTTTTAAGGTTCTTCTGTTCAAGGACAACTCGTCTGAGGTCAGCAATGGGATGTGCAGGGAGGTTACAGTGCCCTTCTGGGCTTCTCCGTGTTTCTGGAACGGATGTTGGATCGATGCCCAGTTCAGTTGAGTCCAGGGATTGCCCCATCTGGCCAATGCAAATGGCAAAGGTGCATTTTGAGCAAGGAATGGTGTGTAAGAGATGGGCAGAGTAAAGGAGCAGTGAATGAACCTCGGATGTTGTAATCTGTGCGGTTTGGTCCAGTGATGACGTGGTGCGTGTTGATGAGGGGGCACAGCTGGCATACGGGTCTGCAGCAAGGGCTGGTGGCTTGCTGGAGATACCGTTTGAGGTTGTGAGCCAGGACAGTCTTGTCCCCTAGGACGACAGGTTTCCAGGAGGG